GAGAAAAAGGTGGATGGAGGCTGTGCTGTCCAAGAGGGTATAACAGCGAAGCTGAAACTTGGTGAATCTGCTTGCTTTCCAACAAGTGAGTTGATTTTCCGATTGCGTTTAGTCACACCCATGTAGAGACAGCCTGTATCATGTTCCTAAGGAGACACCCCCGAAGAACTGATTTAGAAGCTCAAAATAAATAAATAAATAAATAAATAAATAAGCAGATCACAAAGCCCCAAGTTCTTTACCACTGGCATTTACACAGGCAGCTCATGGGAGCATTTTACACATCCAGAGAGAGACAAGCAGCAGCAGATCCCTCAAGCAAGTAATTGACAGAGAAAGAATAGCCTGTCACCAGCAGAGCTGGAAGCGCTGCGTTTCGGTTACAGTTTATTCAGCTCCCGGGGCCTTGATTGGCTGCTGGTTTTCTGGAGCTCCCTATGAGCAGATGGTGTCTAGACTGAGGTGGTGAGGACACGCTCTGTGCTACTTGCATCTGCAGCAGAGGAGTTTCTTTTTGGTTTGGCCACATTTGGAGGGAAGGGCCTGTGACCCAGCACCCACGTTGTGGACTATTAGAGCGAGGGGGACTTTGGGACTCCTCTGATGCTCCCCCCTCTTTCCAGAGAAGAAAGAAACTTGCCCGTTTCCCTCCCTCCCGGCTCCGGCCTACATGTGACTGCGAGCACACTGCCCTCTCCACACCACCCCGCGGCCTCTGTGATTGGCCTGCCCTCCCTAGCAGCCAGGAAGCCCTGAGGCCTGAGTCTTCTCGTCCATCCACCCATCTTCGTATCCCACACGCCCGGCACGGCGCCCGGTCTGGACACCGGTGCTGGGACACACCTGGTAAACCATGAGGAGGTGGGGCCCAAACTCAGCCGACCAGATTCTGGCAGCACCTTTCCTGCCTCCCCAGGCCCCCTCACCCCTCGCTGTGTCATCCCGAGCACCCTGATATTGATCACACAGGCATGAGCTGCTTCTGTTGGTTTGGCATCTAGAGTTTATTAGGTACTTACGAATAGCCGTCAGCTGCAGATAGGGCTGAAATGCAGGGAAATGGCTGCCTGCATGAAGTGAAATTCAATAAGACCGCATTTTAAGTGAAAAATCAGTATAAACACCAGGCTTCTTTGCCATGGAAACAGAGGTTGCTTAGAAACTGCCTAACAGCGAGTTCTAAATTTTTTAAAGTCAAGTTATCATTTAAGCTACACTGCCCTACAGGTTATTGAGAGATAATCACTCGCCTCAGGACGCAGGGAGGCAGGAGGCACAGCTGAATGCCCCTCCAAACTCTGGGGACCAGAGAATCTCTTGATAACGGTGCTCCCCCGAGCCACTGATTTGGGCCCGGAGGAAAGAGAAAGGAATTTTTGTTCAGAAGTTAGATCGTATACGTCTATATTGTTTAAAAGTGTTTCTCTTTGGGTTTGAGAAAAAGGTAGAGCTGGCCATGTGGCATGTACAACAGCCATCTCTGCCATGTCTCAAGATGCATCGGGAACATTTTCCTGGCAGTGACTGCACTCAGTTCAAAGCAGAAGTCCTGTCTTTGTCTTCCGGCTGTGGATTATGCAAAAGGGGCTTTTGAGGTCTTCAGCCTTCTGCTCTCTGCTCTCGGGAGGGGGGGGGGGGGGGGGGGGGGGGGGGGGGCAGGACCGGCGGGAGCTGGGCCCGGAACCAAGTGGTAGCAGAGTTTGGAGCAAAGCTGAGCCAGGAGCGCTCAGACAAGATCTCCTGGGTCTCAGGTTCAGCTCCCAGAAGCTTAAAATGAACGAGAATCCAGATTCAGAATTTGTCGGCGTTTAAGAGTTCAGCGGGTTGCATGCCTTTTGCCAAGCAAGAGCACAGCTACACCTGGTTGCATAGCATGGCATTTGCTCCTGACCTCAGGTATACAAAGGACAGAGACCGTTGCATTCATTTCTTCCTTAAAATTGAGGGCAAAATCATAACCCACTGGGCTGAGAATTGGGACCCCCCACCAAGTCAGGGTGTAGGACATTCTGAGGGAAACAAAGGACAGGTGTGTTGCCCTTTCAGAGTGTCTGAGAAGTTCCAGGGCGACAGAGAGCTGGGGTTGGTAGTGATAATTATTCCTGAGACACACACACCCTTTCTCTGGAAGGAACAGTGTTTTCATTATACACTTCAAAGTGTTTTCCTGCACCTCATCTCCTTAGAGCCTTTGAACAAACCCGTGAGAAGGGCGGTGCGGGTGCGATCATCTTCCGTCAGAGAAAGAGGAAGAAATGGGTTTAGGGAGGCAAAATAATTTGCTCTGAGCCCCAGAGGTGGGAGAAGGAGCCTCGCTGCTGCCTGTCACTCTGCAGGCTCTGTGCCTTTAAGCGCTAAGAAATGAGACCCAAACTCATTCTTCCGAGAGTTTGGCTCTTGCTTCATAAAAAGGTGACCTTTGTACACATTTTTGCTTTGCCTCCCTGTTAACATTTTATTTAGAGATCTCACCGGGCAAAGAGAGTAGCTTTTCCTTTCCTGCCAGCGAGAGCGACATCAGAGTTTAGCATGTTTAAAAGGACTCGGAAAACGAACACGGCAGCGTTTCCGTGCCGAGCGAGTCGGAGCAGAGCTGTGACTGAGCTGAGCCGTGGTGACACTTGGCTGGGTGCTGCCCAGATCAGAATATTCCTTGGCGCTGCGAGTGCGCCGTGCTGCAGCTTGAGAGATTGTTCCAGTCCTTGGAAGAGGAAAAAAAAAAAAAATCAAATGGAACCATTTGCATTCTAACGGTCTTTGGCACCAGGGAAAACTGTCAACTGTGTCACGTGTAAATAGAAATCTGTTTCCCATTTTTTGGTGCATTTTTTCATAATTTCCCTTGCCGCTCTAATTATCAAAGATATTTGTTTTTTAAACAAAAATCGTCTTCCACGCAGGCCCCATCTCCTTTCTGCAGCGAAGTGGAAACAATGAATTGGAATATTCTAATCACTTCTCCAGCGTCTACCGCCGAGGTTACAGACGCAAGATTATCCTAAGAAAACTTAGGTTGTTTAGGCACAAGGCAGGCCAGAATGTTTTTCAGAGTGCCCCCTCCTTTGTCTCCTTCGAATATGAATGTTAAACCCCAGGAAGAAAGCGAAAGTGCACAGGCTTTGCAGATTAACCTAATTAAAAATCAGAATTTGGCTTCGGTTAGCAAGCATTTAAACTCGTATTTGACGCCCAGCTGTAAGGGAGAGGTTCCTAGGAATGGTGGCTAAGAATGACAAGGGTCCATCAAATAGACCCCATCCATCCATCGGAGAAGGACCCTGTGAGGCTGTGGGCCTCTGCGGAGCCCGGAGTGAAGTGAGGAAACTGAGACCAAGACAGGTTGAATAATCTTCCCCAGCCAGTTGGCTAGTGGTTAAGGTAACCAGACGTCCTGCTTTTGGCGGGACAGTCCTGATTTTTAACAATTTGTCCCGTATCCCGCGGGACTTTTTTTTAATTTTTTTAAAATATATTTTATTGATTTTTTACAGAGAGGAGGAGAGAGGGATAGAGAGCTAGAAACGTCGATGAGAGAGAAACATCGACCAGCTGCCTCTTGCACACCCCCTACCGGGGATGTGCCCACAACCAATGTATATGCCCTTGACCGGAATCAAACCTGGGACCTTTCAGTCCGCAAGCCGACTCTCTATCCACTGAGCCAAACCGGTTTGGGCTTTTTTTTTTTTTTTTTTTTAATATATTTTATTGATCGCGGGACTTTTTTAAAACGCCACGGGATGCGGGACAAATTGTTAAAAATCAGGACGTCTGGTCGCACCTTACTAGTGGTGCCTATGGCTACGTGAATCCTGCTAGTAAAGCTCCCTGGTCCTTCCTTGGTGCTGAGCAGTGGCCGCTCCTTTACGTCCTTCTATAGAGCGGGAACCTTCCAGAGACAGTCGGCATCTTCAGCCATCAGTGTGCACACTAGGAAGCCCTTGCTCCCTGCGAGGACCTGCCCGGGCAGTGCTGGTTGCGTACACCAGGTGTCGTGGATGCAGAGTGAGCCCAGCAGACGTGCTCCCTGTTCTCACTGTGAAGCAGGGAGATGGCCCATCGAGGAGGATGTGATAAGTGCTGGGAGTGCGTCCTGTAGAACAATAAAGAGATAAGGGGTGCCCACCTAGACACAGTGGTCCTGAAGCCGACCTCTCTGAGCAGGGGGTGTGTGAGCTGAGGGCAGGGTGGCCGAGAGAGCTGCCCAGCTGGGGAAGGGCTCGTCCTGCCTGGGGTGGGAAAGCCAGACCCTGGTCACTGAGTCAGTCGGGGGAGTTACATTTGGACTGCCCCCTGCAGTGGCCTGGGCACATGACTGAGTGGGATGTGAGCGGGTAGGAGGAAAGGGTGTGACACCTTTTCAGACCTGTTGGGCCTCTGGTGTCAGCTGGTCAATGCCTCTCAGCTCCGTCTGTGTTGTGTGTGGGACACCAGTGCTCAGTTGGTCCTGTCCCAGGAGATCTGATCCCTACAGGCATGTCCAACCTACCAAGAATCCGTGGCTCTCCGTGGCCAGAAAGGGCCAGCCACAGGTTCAGCAGTGAGCGGGGGCCCGCAGGGAGGGCCTGCGGACTCGGAAGCTGAGGGCTTGCCCAGGCTCCCCAGGAGGACTGGGAGCCCCGCCCTGGGGCTGGTCCTGTGAGCGAGTGGAGCTAGCGTGAGGGTGGGCCTGTCCATTTTCTTCCTTCTGAAAAGTCTTGCTTTGCGTGTCAGAACTTAACCAGTTCCTTTGCCAAGATCTTGTTTGATGTCAATATTGTTCTGCTCGGACTAATCACCACTTTTCTTCTGTATGTCAGGGGATAGGAAACTCTTTGCCTGATTCTGTTAGACTTTGGGGCCATCCATGTGGCCCTGTCTTGTGAATGAGGTGGTTTGTCCTGCTATTCAGGTAATTTGCTGTTTTATCAGTTTTTTCTCAAATAGCCAGGAAGTAGCCTCCTGGGTGAACACCAGCAGGTTCCCTCCCTGTGCCCTCACTGCTGCTCCTCTCTCCGCAGGGTTTTCTCCCACTTGATGAAGGTCGACCCGGACTGCACCTGGTTCCTCCTGAATGAACTCTACTGCCCCGAGCAGCTCACACCCCCCCATCCTGCCCTCCACCCTGTGCAGCTGCGGGGGGGGCCGGGGCCGCAGAACCCCTACACGGCCAACGTGCTCCTCCTGCTGCGGGAGCTGAGAGGAGCACCCCCCTGCCCACAACAGGGGGACCCCACCCTGGCCAGAGGCCATGGCAACAGCCGAGAAGACGGCAAGGTGGATTAGACAGGCGATCGATTTCTAAATTGATCGATCACACAACTGCTTAGAAATTGGATTGAACGAAAGTAGCTGACTGTTATTTATATTTCATACCTGCTGTTTTCAGATGACATTGTCTGGCAGCTCTTAAGGGCTTAACTCCTTAGCTTACTCTGTCCAAGGCCCCAGCTGCCTCGCAGTCCAGCCCCCCCACACACACAGACTCACACCGGCGAGCTGACAGACACGTGGGCCGGGGCCTGGACCGCGTGCTGCGTTGTGTGTCCTCTGAGTGTCCGAGGACCGCGAGGCGGCACCGCTCGCTCACCAGGCGTCTTCCGAACACAGCCAGTGTCACAGGCACACCCCTCACCTCGAATAATGAGCTGGAACTAACTCGTGGCACCTAACCTGTTCTTTGGAAGAAAATGAAATAAAGACATTTGTTGGATAAAAAGTATGAGCAAGAGCTCACTTTGAAGTTTTCTGTTTAAATTGGGTGTTTTTTTTTTTTTTTTTTAGGTGGGTGAATGTTCTTGAATGGATAATCCAGAGCCATGGCATAAAAATCCAAGCAGCACAAAATGGGAACAGTGAAAAGTCATCTCCTGTTCCCCAGTTGTCTGGTTTTTCTCCCAAAAGCAAACGCTCCTAACAATGCTTTTTATTTCTTCTAAGTAGGAGATTAATTACTTTAACCTTTGATTGTGGATACTAGTACACTGATGCCACAGGTACCCATAATGCAGCTGCCCCGATGCCAGCACGTGGCCAGCCTCGCTCTAGCGCTCCCTGCCCATTTACCTCCCATCCCACCTGCCCCTGGATTATTTTCAAGCCAATCCCAGATGTATCCAACCCTTTTCTTAAACATGAAATCACATGCCATTATCACAGCTACCAAAATTAACAATGGCCCTTTAATATTGTACCCAGTGTTCAAGTTCCCAGTGTGAGGGAATCAGGATCCACATGCCATAAGGTTTGTACTTTGCTGTTATTAATCTGTCCTTAATACACTACTCTTCATTTATGAATTCCCCTCCACCTCTCTTCCTTTCCCTGAATGGTTTTTTTTTAATATATATATATATATATATATATATATATATTAAAAAAATAATATATATATATTATTTCAGAAAGGAAGGGAGATGGAGAGATAGAAGCATTAATGATGAGAGAATAATTGATTGGTTGCCTTCTGCATGCCCCCCAATGGGGATTGAGCCCACAACCGGACATGTGCCCTTGGCGGGAATTGAACCAGGACCCTTTAGTCCACAGGCCAACGCTCTATCCACTGAGCCAAACTGGGTAGGGCTCCCTGTATGGTTGATGGCGAGGACACAGGGTCCTCCAGCCCCAGCATCCCCACAGCCTGGGTTCACTGGTTGCCTCTCTGTAGGGGCCAGGGCACAGGCTCCTCCGGCACCGTCTTTCCTGTAAGTGAAGCAGAACAGCGGGCTGGATCAGGTTTGGGTTTATTGTTTTTGCTTTGAGGCACCTCTTCTTCATCGGTGGTGGTACTCACTTCCATCCGGTGGCACATGATGTCTGATCTCTTCCTGTTACATTAGCAGCCAATAGTGACCCTCGCCTGGGTCCAGGCGTTCTTTAGGGTTTGCACAGTACGCCCACCCTGTCTTGCTTTCAGGGAGTGCTGTGTAAGGAAGCCTTCCCTTCATCCACCAGCCGTAACCTTGAGGGGGTTTGTGTAAAAAAGGCAGGATAAATACTTGAGTTTCTGCCGCGATGACTTGAAACACAGGTTATGTAAATGTAAGCGCAAGCACATGTGCTGGAGGGTCCCAGGGGTAACACATGCCTCCTCACCAGATGCAGGTGAAGAACCGTCTAGATTCTCGCTGACTTCCCCAGTAGCGTAGGTAATCCCCAAGCCCCCAGAAACCCGGAGGGCGGTTGGCATAGGGACATACTACAGCAAGGATCCCCAGCCAGTTCCCGAGAGGCCGCCTCATTTCCTTGTAGGCCAGTGGAGAATCCAGGGGGCAGCAGCCTGGCTTCTGGTCTGGGGGACCTTCCCTCTCTTTGCATCTCACATCTCCCTCCTGCAAAGAGGAACTGAGCCCGAGGGAGAGCGATGAACCTTTTGGGATTCTGGGCCCCTCCAGGGAGCTGATGAAACTGAGGACCCACTCCGCAGACACATCCCTCCTCGTCCTGCGTCACTCCCAGAGGGCACCGCGTCCCTCGAGGCTGCAGCCGAGCACCATCTCATCTGGGTCGGCTTGGCTGACCTGACTAAGTCCTATGTACAGTTCCAGAGACTGCATGCGTGACCCTGCAGAGACCCCAAGTTAAGAACCCCTGAAAGAGGGAGAACCATTCTTCCAATTCTAAAATCCTGGGGTGCTTTTTCCTTTGAAGGAAGGGGAAATACCCTCTAGTGGAGGAGATTGTGAAGGGATTCACAGCATCGTTCCTGATTCCACTGGGCCACAGTGGTAGCTAATCAATCGCTAGGTCCTCACAGGCGCACAGAAGGCGCAGAGGTGGCGCCTTCTGTGGAACATAAACCAGCTTCGGGGGGGGGGGGGGGGTTATGAACGCAGCTGCCTTCCCAGGCGCCTGGGTGTGGCGGCGGGCGTACACCCAGAGACATGCACACCGTCCTGAGCTTCGGTGGCCCTGGGCCCCGGGAAGCTCCCCAGGAGAGAATCTGCATGGGAGGGTTCGCGTGCTGTCCCAGAAACCATCTCTTCCTTAGAGTTAAGACATCCTGAGTTGCGTTTGGACTCCTGCAGGCAGATTGTTGCACTTGATTAAAAAAAACCTAATTAGAGTGCCTCTTCGGTTATTATATTCAGGCAACTTTAATTTCAAACCTGTCCAGCTGATGCAGTGCCGTCCTCGTTAACGGAGGCCTTGCAAATCGGTCGTTTCCTCTGCCAAAGCCTCCGGTGCGGTGAGGGGTTCTCCTTCACGCAGGTTTGGCTGGAGGAGGGGTACCAGGTGAGGGATGGATAGGTACGGGAGGGCCTTGAATTTCGGGTTGGGATGTTCAGGGTCTGGCCCGCGGGCAGTGAATCTGGAGGATCCAGGAAAGTAGAGAGCTGGGTACAGGCGTCCTGTGAAAGGTTGGGTGTGGTCCTCAGGAGGCGCCCTGTGGTGGAAGGAACTTGGATGGATGATCTAGAATTCTTCTGACCTGGGGGTGACTTCTGACGGTGTGACCTTGGGCGACTCCCTTCACTGCGTTTTTCCATCTCTTAAGAGGAGTTGCAGCTGAGACCAGTTTGGCTCAGTGGATAGGGCGTCAGCCGGACTGAAGGGTCCCGGGTTTGATTCTTATCAAGGGTATGTACCTTGGTTGCGGGCACATCCTCAGGGGGTGTGCAAGAGGCAGCTGACTGATGTTTCTTTCTCATCGATATTTCTAACTCTCTATCTCTCTCCCTTCCTCTCTGTGAGAAATCAATAAAAAATATTTTTACAAAAAAGGGGAGTTGCTGCCTCTGCCTCCTGGGTGGCTCTCGGGAGGAATACATGTGGTAGTGTTTATAGAGTCTCTAGCAAAGTGCCTGGGGCTCTGATCATGTGTATTTCTTCCTCCGATCCCCCTGCTCATGGCTTTGTTGGGGATGCGATGCACATGCCTCCAGACTGAGGATGTGAATGGTTAAATCTCAAAACTACCCAGGAACTGGGGGCCGGGAGGGGGGGGGGGGTGCACAGCAGAGGAGGGGGTGAGATTGAAATAGGACAATCAGACTTTGGTCGGATGAGAAGGCACAGGGCATTCCAGAGCACGCCTAGAGGCTCCCGGGCATACCTGCCAGTATCTGTGCTCATCATCACTGCTTCAGTTGCAACTGACAGGAAACCCAACTCAAACTGGCTTGAGCAAAAGGGAATGTCTTGGCCTCATAACCAAAAGGCCCTGCTGGCTCCAGGTCCCACAGCCTGGAGGAGCGGCTGTGGTCTTTTGATTCCGCTTTCCCCAGAGTCGGCTGTCTTCTCTCCCAGCCTGCCTCTGTGAGTGTCAGAGACGACCACCCCGGTTCCAGGCTCCTGTTCTCCGTTAACGTGGGAGGGCGTGCACGCCCCTCGGACAGCTCCAGCTCCGGCCCGGGACCGCTCTCCACAGCTCGGCTGGTGCTCTGCCCGCCCTGCGCCAAGCCTTGTGCGCTGCCGGCACGCTTTCCCTGGAGATGGCCAGCTGGTGGATATTTTAGGCTTTGCAGGCCAGAGGGTCTGTCTGGCATGTTCTGCTTTGATTTTTTTTTTTTCAACATTTAAAAAAATTTTTTTTTTTAGCTTAGGGGCAAGATGGCATTTTTTGCCTTAGTTTGGGGGGACCCCTGATCTACAGCATTCCCACAGGCAGGCCTGGGGGCAGGTGGGCAGGTCAGCTCACCCAAACTATAAAGAGAAAGAGCTGGGGGGAGGGAGGGAGCGTGGCTGCCCCCAAAAGGTAGCACTGCGTTTGGTTACCAGGAACAGAGAGGCAGGGTAGGAAGGGGCAAACATAACTGGCATCCACCCACCCCGCCCCCCGAAATTTATGGGGCGAGACAGGGAGGGGTCCCGGCCGTCTGGGAGGGCGTGTGTTAGAGATGAGAGGCCACATTTACAGAGGGCCTCAGCTGCCACACACACACACACACACACACACACACCCCGGGGATTCCGGCCTGAAGAGATCAGGGCGTGGCCTTGGAAGGTTCTTGAACAGAGGAGTCAAGTGCTGAAGCCACGTTTTAAGAATATTCATCTCGTGGCGGCATATTGGAGAAATCGGAAGGGAGAGAGCCTGGCGAAGAAAATGTGTTCCCGAAAGTCCCAGGACGGGAAAATGTACCTCTTCCATCAACCCCAAACTGTTTGACGTGCCGTGGTTCATGGGCAACTTGAGGCACATAAATATGTTCTTTAAACTTTAAAAGTAAGAAGTGAGATGAATGGAGCCTCGGATGAGGCTTCCTCGGGCTGGAGGCGGAGAGCGGAGAGGCCCTGGAAATAATTTTTCGCGGCTCCAGCGGGCGGTGCGCAGCGCGGGG